CCCCGGACTCTGCACAGTTCCCAAATCAGCGAGAAAACAGGGCACGTACTCCTTGGCACTGCTCTTCTTGGGACACACGAGCATGTCACTTTCTAAGAAAATACAGCTTTAATTAAAACCACAGATGGCAGGGAAGAGCTGCACAGGCCTCTGAATCAAACGATCACTTTTTGAGGTGGTTAAAGCATTTCAAGCCGTGATGACTCCACTGACACGGAATCTGTTGAACGTCAGGTGTTGTAACTGGACCTGGAACGCCCCTTCGGTGCCTCTCACCTGAGACTCTGTGAGCAGAAGTGACCCGTCCTGGGTTAGGCGTCACCCGGCCACCGCGGGCCTGCTGGTTAAGCATCACTCACGTCGGTTCTGTTTCTACGATCTCTGTGGACATTCTCAGTTCTTTTTCGTTAGTATAGGTTTAATTTGTAGATAGAAACACGCTTCAGAAAAGAGCGAGGACAAGGGAATAAGACTAACCACCAGATGAAAACCAGAAAAACGTTTTGCGCTCTGTTCAGCGAGAAGATGGCGTTTCTCTGTGGCGGGTGAGGGGCCGGGTGCGGTGTGTGCCACAGCACCGGTGACAAGGAGCCTGGCTTCCACGATGGCGCCTGACCCGTCTGGCCGCGAGCTGGGGAGCAGGCCGCCAGGTGGGGCTGCCCGGGGCAGCACAGATGACGCGGGCCTGCAGGTCCCTGGGCTTCCGAGCCCCGGAGTCGGAGGTGCTCACACGCGCTGCTGAAACCCTGACTCTTCTCTCCTCTGCCAGAGTCACTGGAACCCAAACCCAGCAAATCCCAAAGCGGACGCGGCGTCTCCTCCGGGCCTGTTCCCCTTCCTGTCATTGACCCCTGTGGTCCTGAAAGCCACGTCCTGTGGGTCACCCGTTCCTTGGCCTGTGCCGCCCTCTCCATCACCACTGTCCTTCCTGGGCTCAGGCCCCAGGACCCTCGCATGTGTCTTGGAGAGAAGGCTAACGACCTCCTTGTCCGGGCCCTCCCCACTGCTGCCACTGTTAGTCTCAGAGGCGTCTGTGCGTGTCACGTGCGTATCACGTATGTGTCACTGGTGCGCGAGTTCCCTGAGAGCCGGGCCCGGTGGACTGGGGCGGTGAGCGCATGCCCGGGACAGGTGCTGCTCTGTCCTCACCCAGGAGCTGGGAACACCTGCTGACCCCGCCATGGTTTGGGTACCTGGTGTGGGCGGGTAGGTGTTCCATTGTCCCTCAGGAAAGGCCTCGATGGTGTGGGGTTCTCTGCATCTCTCAGTCTCTTCCGTAGGGACCAGGGACATCGGCGGCCAGCCGTCCACCTGGCACTGCAGTTAGGGGTCGGGCTGGAAACCGGTGGTCAGAGCAGAGTGTGGAGTCACGTCTTGCATCGTTCATCCTCACCTTCTCCAGTCACATGCAGCAGCTGAGTTTTGTGGAAAACAGCATGGCAGGGAGCACTGCCGTTACAGAGTGTGTGTTCCATTGCGGAAAACAGGCAATAAATAAAAATATACTAGAGGATGGCCACTTTCATAATGCAGTCAGTGACATGTAAGCGAACATTTGAACGAAACGCACGCGCATGGGCAGACCTTTGCAGTCATTTGAGGACTTTTCAAAGCAAGTGATTAGATCTGTCCTGTATCTTAAAAATATCAGTCAGGCTGCTGCTAGCACGAGGGCCAAGCTGGGGAGCAGAGCAGAGCCAAGAGGCAGGTGGGCCTGGCATGTGGGTGATTTTGGTGAACCTGGGATAAGTGGTCAGATTCTGGACAAACTGTGAGGGTCCCCCAGTGTGGCCGAAGGTCAGCTGTGTCACGTGACAGAAAGGGAGAACTCGTGCCGGAGTCCNAAGGCAGCACTGGGGGCTTGCGGTGTGGCCGCTGATGGTGACAGTTGTGGGCAGTGTCCGTGGGTGGCCCCTTCTGCAGGGAAGGTGGTTGTGGGCTGGTCTGGCAGTGCCCAGGCTGGTCTATCTCAGTGACGGGCCGGTGGAGTGTGAGAAGCTCGGCGAGGGGGTGGGACGTGAGGGAGCTGACCAGGTCCTCCACGGGCCAGGCTGCTGTGCACCTGTCGGACGAGAGGGGAGCCTGGGTGCCGTTTAGACTCACCCCTCAGGCGCTGTGTCCTTGAGCTCAAACACGACTACTTTTCTGGGTTGAGTGTGAGCCATTTGAAAGCACGCTCTTTCAAGTCCTCCGTGTCCGAGGGTGCACTCGTGGGCCGGTGGCCATCCCCTGGGGCTCTGTGCTGCTGCACCAGGAGCAGAGACGGCGAGGCCCCCTGCTCTCTGGCATTTGGGAGTCTGGGGGTGCAGGCCCGTGAGCAGGGGGGCTGTCAGGATAGGTGTGCAGGCGTGTGTTAGGAAGCCGCTTTAAAGGAGTCACGCACAGCATGTCAGTGCCTTGTCCCCCTGAGCTCACGGCCTGTTGTTCTGTCCCCGCTTGGTCTACAGACTAAAACTGGTGCCGCGTTGCTGCACGACGAAGCATCTGGAAACACGTATGCCGTCCGCCTGAAGCTGACAAAAGAGGTACTGACAATTCAAACACAGGATGTCATCTGTGTTAGTGACAGCAATCGCAGTGCAAATGTAAGTGCCTCTGCGTCTCCAGGCGCCAGCGGGTGGTCACCGTGTCTCACGCTGATGAGTCACGTGAAAGCCCTCTAATGTCACTGTTCTGGGCTGATTACTCAGGACGAGCCCCCGCCATGGTTTACACGTCCCCAGCTGCTGGCTTGGATTGTCACAAAGCAAAACACTGATGTCACAGTTGTATCGCGTGCTCTCTCCCCATTCTTACGTTCTTTGTTGGTACATTTTGGTTGAGGAGCTTTACATGAAAAGATGACCTCAATGCCACCATCTGAAACATGACACAGTCTCATTGGGAACTCAGAAGACACGACACGGCAGGCCCTCTGCTTACGGAAAGAATAACGTCCAGAGTGACACACAGTGAAAGACGGGCAGACGTGTCTAGCGTTAGCTGTCAGCTTCGTCCCTGTGCCTCTAGGGCAGCGGTTCTCAACCTTCCTAATGCCGCGCGACCCCTTAATCCAGTTCCTCATGTGGTGGTGACCCCCAACCGTAAAATTATTTTCGTTGCTACTCTATAACTGTAATTTTGCTACTGTTACGAATCGTCATGTAAATATCTTTTTGTTTTCTGACGGTCTTAGGCGACCCCTGTGAAAGGGTCGTTCGACCCCCAAAGGGGTCGCGACCCACAGGTTGAGAACTGCTGCCCTAGGACATAAATAGGAGTCTTCACCCAAAGCATGTTCCTTCTTTGTGTTGGTCCCACTCCTGACTTACCGGCCCGTTGTCCTTAGAGTAAGAAACGTATTCATTAGGTGTAGTCGAGTACTGAATGAAGACCAGAGAAAGGTCTTGGGCACTTTTATCTCCGAGTTTGACTGGAAAAGGGCTATTGCACATGCTCCGTACACAGTGAACTGTATTTAAAGCCGCAGTCAGCTCATTACCTCTAGCAGGCTTACGTCACTGTGGACACACATATGTGCACATATCGTCAACAGTAGCTGGGGCCTTTCATTACTGCCTCGTCCCAGTGATACCCACCCATCAGCCACACACACTGACACTCAGGAAGTCACGTAGTTCAAAGTAAGTTTTTTTCAGTGTGCTTTTATAAATACCCCAAGAATCACCTTCATTCCAGTCCCTGCTGGCTATTGGGAGGCACTGGTGAGCCCTGGGTGGTTTGGTTTTCTGAGACCT